GGTACTCCCCGGCGGGGAATCGAACCCCGGTCTCCCGCGTGACAGGCGGGGATACTAACCACTATACTCCAGAAATTTAAAATTTAATATTGGAATTTAGTATTAGAATTTCTTGTACCTTTTAATATTTATCATTAAAATACGTAATGATATATTTGTAATGTGAATTCTACATTGGGATGCAGATACAATATAAATTTATTGCCCCGACCTTATGAGAGGTTTCTTTGTTTTTTTGCATAATTTGTTAATATACGAAGGAAGGTGATTAGAGTATTTTTACCGGCTTAAGAACAAGATCAATACTTTTTTTGTAATGTATGGGCACATTATATCTCTAAAATATATCTAGTTCTTGATACTTTTGGGATTATCAAAGCATAATTTTTAATTAACTTTTTTTTAGTTTATGGTGATTCATTACTTTCTTGGTTTTATAAATGGTATCTGATATTTATGGTTTTGTAATGTAATAGTTACAGAGTCTTGGGTGTTGGGATTATTCTTTTGTGTACGTTTTGGGAATTAAGGAATTTATGAATTTATGTGTATTTCTGCAATTTGTTTATACATTTTTAATGAGGTTAGTTGTACAATTTGATACTATTTTCTATGAAAATTGGATGTGAAAAAACACAGCATAGTTCGGTCACCGTTTTTTAATTCGTTTTTGGTTAGTAATGGTATTGTTTTCACTTTGCGACGTCCGTCATATCTTGGAGAATGTCAGTATTAAATATTTTTTTTCACTTTGTCACAAAGGTCTCCAAGCAGGGTCGTACGCTCTGATACATCTGTTTTATTACTGCTTTTTAAAAATCATATTTATATCAAACAAAAATCTTAATTGAAAATTGTTCTTTATTTTGCACGGATCTCTGTCTTGTTTAGACGAGATTAATTCACTTCTTACCGGAAGGCTCCTTTTTTCTGTAAGGGAACCTAATCATCAGTTTTTTCAAGAGGACGTCTTCACTACGTTCTGTCTAAGAGAATCATCAACAAATAGCGATTTCGTTGTTAGTTCTAGTGTTTCGAACAAATAACATCATAATCAACAATATCTTCTTGCATCGCAGAAGCTACGGCGGGGGTAATGATTTGTCACACGACTCACAACACAGTCCTGGGGCACTACCACTCGCATTTCGTTGGTCAAGACGAAAACGTGGGGGCGGGGGTGGGGTGAAAACGGGGCTGCGAGGAACAGCTCTCGCCGGAGGCTTCGCCGTTAGGACACGCCTTCCTTGTGGGCGTGCGGCGGCTTCTTCTCCGGGGCGTCGCGCGCGCTCGGGCGCGGGCGGTAGCGGAACTGCCAGTAGCGCTGGTCGGTGCCGAAGCGGTGCGCGTCCGCCAGCGTTTCGGGCAGCTGCTGGTGCAGCGTCTCGGGCAGGAAGGAGCACGCCAGGGCCCCCGATGCCGCCAGCACGCTCATCATCGCGTGCGGGAAGCGCGCGTCGTACTCACCCTGCGCACCACCACAAGCACACCGTTAGCTTTCCATTTGATTTTGTTCTATTTATTTTGTCAATGAGCAGTACTGTTGTTATTATTATTATTATTATTATTATTATTATTATTATTATTATACTATTACTAATAATGAATATTTCCGGGCGCGTCAATTGCTAAGGTAGTTCATTAGTCCCATAAGTTTAGTGCGTGTTTTTTAATATCTGGAGGTGGCGATGATTTTCCCCCGCTGGATGGCGTGATCGGGCGCCGATCTACTTGTCGGCTAGCGGGTTTTTTCCTTATCTCCACCATGGGCACTGCCCTAGGCGGAACAAGCTCTAAGTTCTCGACATGCGTGATAGTGTAGAGCATGTATGTGTACTTTCGGACAAATTTTAAAAAATGCATTATCTTGGCTGTCCGGGTGACGTTGCGTCGAAGGCTGTGTTGCCGACATTTCGACCATTTTGTAGTGATCTTTCTCAAGGCTGGTATGCCCATACATACAGGGCAAGATACATACAGAGCTGAGGAAGACCACGACAAGATGGTCGAAACGTCGGCAACACAATCTTCGACGCGGCGTCACCCGGACAGCCAAGATCATGCACATGACTTTGGCCGCGGAAGCCTACAACTTCAAATTTAAAAAAGATGGTAAAATACCGGGCTGGCGAGCTGCATCCTGACTCCAACGCCGTAACAAGCATCGAAATAAGATAGTATGAATGCAAAGTTTGAAAGTGGCTTTTAGATTGTACTATCTCAGGTACTAAAAACTTCTGTTTATAGAGGAGTATACTGCACTGTAATTTAAGTACAAAATAGTCAATAAATTGAGTGTTTGTAAACATTTCTTTCAATAAAACTGCACAACTCTTCAGTGCAAGAAGTCCCAGAGACAACCACTCACTTTTCATAATTTACTTTTTTCATGTCACAAACATAATGTACAAACTTTTAGAATTATGTTGGTCAGTCAAAAAAGCTTTGTGTTATCTCTTTTTATCTGCCTGTTAGTCTGTACAACAGACAAAGCATTGCATATCTGTACTACCGACCCCGATCTCACAGTCACACCTTGATTTCGGGGCTTTTAAATAAATGTGAATAGAAATAATAATAATAATAATAATAATAATAATAATAATAAACAAAAATTGCACTGTAGATAACTGCGGCTACATGCATAAAAAGAACCAAGAAATTAAAAATTATAATTTACTTTTTAGTTTACGAGTTAAAACTTTCCCCAATGTTACCAGTAATTGAAGCTCGCGTCATGAAAATTCAAGTCCCCCTCAAATCGTTTCGCCTCTCTCCCTGAAGCGTTGCCGTGGGAGACGCCAGATTTGTGCAGGACCTGTGGTCGCTTCCGATGACATACGAGGGTCTCTGTGTTATCGCCTTCCGCTTACGGAGTTAGGAGAGGTGTCACAGCAGGAGCGGATCCAGCTGATTATTTTTCGGGAGGTGTATATTTTTGTACACATATATTTATGTAAATAATAAATGTATTTGTTATTATATTTTATATTATTTAGAGATTCACCAGATGAACTCTTTAAAGTAGATAAACGTCGTTTTAAGATCAAAAATCGAGTTGTAGGATTAAAGAGCTCTTTCGTATACTCCGCTCAGTTTTTCCGGTATTTGACAACAGAAGATCTTAGAGCAAGGTGGAGTGATAGCAGAAGACCTTAGAAGTTAAATATATCTAAAATAAGATGTGAGGAGATGGAATAATGCTGATATTTAAACAATTAGTTCCTTTTTTTAAAAAACAGTTCCAAATCGGAATCGATAATTTGAGTAATGTGTCAAAAAAGTTTAAGGTGGTATTCGAAGGAAGATGGAAATATGTGAAAAAGATAGTTATGTACTACTATTAGAGACCGTTTATCTCGATCTGTAATAGTAGTATAACATCTCTAGTTTGGTATCTGTGGAAAAATAGATTGAGATGCAAAGTGACGAACGCATAAACCGAGTGTGTGGCTTGCGTGTCCCGCAAGTCCCGCCTCCTCCGCCGGGCCTGGCCGTGCCGCCGCTCCAATGACAGAGGGCCCACAACGGGCGGGTGGGTGCCGCAACGGCGCAGATGGGGAAGGAGGGGCGAGGTGTTTTCGTAAATTTCACTTTACGACGCTCCTATTCGTCCGATTTGCATGATTGTCACGGCGTTGAATTCAGGAAGCATGCCACCATCGCGCTATAAGCCCAATTTTTTAAATTTGTTCTCGGAAGTTTGAGAACTAATTTCAAATTCGAGTTTTTGCTAGATTTTTGGAAAAAGGTCATCGTAGCGTAAATTTTATTTTAAAAAGGCGTCAAATTCCGTTTACAGATCGAAAATCGGACCATTGGTTCAGACGTTATCAATAAAGAAAATTTTACTTATTTTGGTGCTGCCACGTGGTGGCTACAAATTTTACTAGTAGTTTCGGGACATTTAGCCTTAACATGCACTACCCTACCAGACATGCCGGAAGTCCGGTCGGGAGCTTAGAGCTTGTCCCAGCTACGGCGTTACCCCGGAGATATTTGGTTGGGGAAATCTCCACTAGACGACGGTAGGTCAGCGCCCGATCTCGCCATCCAGCAAGGGAAGATCACCGCCATCTCCCGAGGGGAAAAAGCAAGCACTACACTTCCTTGACTAATGACTTTAGTAGTTGACGCGCCAGGAATCACTAACCACCAAACAGCTAAGTGACGTATGGGTGACAAGTAGAATCTGCGACCCTTTTTCTTGAGCTCTGAAATCTCTTGTCCATCTTTATTTCGAGATCACTAAAGGGGACGTTTCGAAGGGGGACTTGACAATAAATTGCAGTATCATTGAAGGAAATGGTTCATTTTTAGATTGTATATTACATGTAATAGAATAAACATTCCACCCATTAGTATTTACGAAATCTCTTAATAGACATTGAATGTGTGTTGAGTTATTAGAAGTTGTTATTCAGTTGTATTTTGAAAAACAAATCATTAAATAGCCAAAATTCCACTACAATTAATGTAGTCGTTGTGTTTTGTTGATTTCCCTCTCTCCTGTCGCGTGGCGGTTGGTCTATGACGGTCGGTCTGAGTGAGCAGCAGGAAAGCGGTGATGCGAAGGATTGTACGAAATTGTTGGTTGTATGCACAGGACCGGCTCGTGGAGGATATGATATAAGGTCGAATTAGATTGATGTTTTCCAATTATTCATGGCGAGACAAGGCAGTAGTGAGAAACCAGATAGAGGAAGAATTGGGCAGTACAAAAGAACGCCGAGAATGTTTCGTGGAACGTGACACACAGGGTATAGTGGCGTCGACGAGTCAAGTAAGTACAGTGCTATTAATCGTCATTATTTTAGAACAAGTTGAGGAATGACACGTTTAGGAAGTAGTTATCTACGCATGTTTTTTTAAGCTGTTAGAAAATAGAAAGGCCAGGAGATGTGAGTGGTTAGGAGATATGCGAAAGTAATTGGAGGTTATGTTATTGTTTTCATGATAAATGGTGCAAGCCGGAAATAAAGTAGTGCAAGGTGGCGATTACGAACTTAATTAAAGATTAAAGGTAGTTTAGCTAAAGAAAATAGACTTCTGAAAATGCTAGAGATGCTGTGAATATGTGATGATGATGATGATGATGATGATAATAATAATAATAATAATAATAATAATAATAATAATAATAGTGAAACCGATAAGAACTGACCGGATTATAAGGGAAGAGGGAAGTGCAAAAGTGTTTCGTTAATTACAACGAAACTCTAGTAAGACTATACTTAGCGATAGAAGACAAGAATAGTGACAATATGAATGTTAATGCAGAAGATTTGGACACTTTTTGATTGGATGGTTGAGTTAGTGAAAGAAAAAATGGAATTGGTGCAAAATTCATTTTTTAAAGAGTTGGGAAAGAGCACGTATGAAATACAGGGATGATTATGCAGAGGTTGAATATATTTATAATAATTATAATATATTATAATGAATATATATATAATATTTTTTAATCTTAAATTAAGTAATTAAATAATTAACATAATTTCATATAAATTGGACGAGGGAATTTGTTCAAAGGTTTTATTAAACATAGTGACAGAGTAAAAGTTAAGTCATCTGTACAATTGAGTAAGTGGCGAAAGGAGCTGCCAGCTCTTGGTAGAAATATTGTAAAGAATATCAAAAGTGTTACAAAAGAGAATATGCTAGTAAATACTAAGTTGGAGGTAATTTTGAATTTTAGATGTACTGATAGTCTTTTTACTGATTTATATTTTCATGTACGTTTGTGCTATTAGTTAATGGGAGATATATGTATATGTAGGATGTGTGAGTTCGGGAATTATCTTTTATTCTTATGGAGTAATGAAAATGTGAAAATTGGGAGTTACAGCATCCATGAAAAAGAAATTTAGTAAATGACGAAAAGTGTATAGATATCTGGAGGCAAGCAGTGTAGTAATACATTGATAATGAATATTCTTAATTAAATTTATATATCAGTATTTTATAAGTCAATAAGAAGTTAAAAGTAATTAAATGGATTGTCTTGCACACTTTCCTTTATACAGTTAATAGTGTACTTGAACACTAAGTGTAATACAGTTGATAAATGTGCAAATTATCTATAATTGTTAGTGAAGGATTGTGAGGGACGACATCGATGAAGTAAAACTGATGGGAAAAAATTGTATTTATATATTTTATTACTATATTATGGTTAGCTGAAAGGTAAATATTAATGATAAGCTAGGACAACATGTAATTGTAATATGTGAAATGTTCAGGTTTAAGTTTGGCTTTGTTCAAGAATGTGATAGTTGCTATAATAAATGTTTAACATCAAACAAGAGTAGTAGAGGTTAGAATAAACACTAATAAAACAATTGAAAGGTGTAGTTAATAGTAATCTCTCTCTATATATTTAAAACTCGATTTTTAGTTAAGAAAGAAATGTGAGATTTATTCTCCTCCAAATTTTTGTTTTAAATGAAAGATAGTGGGACCTAGATGTGTTTACATTTTCTGTTATTACCAATTTTATAGTATAAATAATAAATTAAATAATATCTTAAAACAATGAACGCTAATCTGCAGTCATTTGATATTACATCGTATTAGAGACCAACTGCGTGGTTGCAATGAAGTTTGTTTTGGTTGTTTTGTTGTGCAATCGACTTTGCATCGCAAGTTGCAATTGATTGCACATAACGTGATGATTGGGCAAGGAACGGGAAGGAAATTTTCGCGCGGCGTTTTTGTTTGGGAACTGCTCCGGCTTTCACCTGGTATTGACCGGAGAAACCACGGAAAACTACCAATCAGAGCCACGAATTCTCCTTCAGTCAGCGGCTGACCTGTCACCTAGCTGTAGTGTCAAAAATTCTACCACCGTCCGGACTCGAACTCCACGACGCCCTGGTCAGAGGCACTGCAGTGGCATCTACTGATGAACTAGCGTCCTACGTAGGTTCTTATAGTGAATATGTTGATCTTTTCTTTTGTAACTTTTCTACAGTTCATTAGTGTAATGTAATCATGATTCAAGTAGTAGTTTATACATTTCAAGCATTCTAAGAGAAAATACATAAAAAGTAAATGAGAGTAAAAAGTAAGATGAAGGGAAAAAAGAAAAGTGTGTGATAAAACAAATGCTATTGTAATGAAACAAGTTGAAGGTACCTACAAATTAAAGGGATAATATTAGAACAAGTAGGAAGGACAGGATAGGAATAATAGTGCAATTAAGGGAAATAGATGAAGGAAGAGTTGGTAGAAGTACATATATAATAGGTCATAGCATGAAAGAAGAAAAGGTAAGGCACAGAGGAGAAAAGAGAGGGTAAGTAGCGGGAAGAATGTAGCCCATACTTTCTCGTACTAGTTAGGTACCTAATTTTATTGGTGACGCCTAACTTTACGGTTTCGCTCCACCCTCATCCCAGTGGCCATTTATCTCGACCCAAAATATTTTTTTTCACATTTTTTAATTTTTTCTATCCTCTGATACTACTGAATTGAACTATAATATTATTTTCAGAATATTATACAAGAGGAAAATCTCGTCTTATTTAGAAATTTTTGTTGAAAAATTCGTACTCGTTTTTGAGACAATGTCGTTTAAGCGTTTCTGTAAATGCGAAATTTGAAGCTCTTTTTCACAGAAAAATTTGAGTTTTCAAGAACGATCAATGGAGATAATTTAAGTACTTCTACTCACAAATTCAATAATGTATACAAATCGTCTGTTATGTAAATATTATTGGTCTGTCAAGGAAATGCCGCGGTGTGACGTGTCGAAACGTTCCCTCATATTTTTTACGTATAATTTACATGCCCTTCCGATACCACGATGTACATTTTGGTTGCCGATACATACTGCCAATTACTTTAAAAATTTAGAAATTTGCCAACATTTTCGTACAATTTTTTCGTTTCTACAGAGAACTTGGACAGCCCTCGCAACCAGAGCGGTGAGCTCGCGGGCGCCGTGGTTGACGTTGTAGAGGGTTGTTTCCTCAAGGTCAAATGACATTCAGTGGGAGCAGGCCATTCCCAGTATACTAACTGCTTTTCTCATTGTAAAAATCCATTTTATTTGAAACATTTTATTTCCTTACCAATGAAAGTTCGTTACTTATTTCATTATGAATATTGTCAATATGCATACTTACTAAACAATGAAAACGTATATCACTTACTGCACGTTACTGCATCACGTTATATTTAAATTATATAAAGAAGAGATTTAAAAGTTGTGTGACATGCGAATCAAATTCAGATGTCATGGCCTCATTTTGATTTTTTGTTTGTGAAAATTATCGTTCTTTAATTTGTGCCTATTTGTGTCGATAAATCAATTTTCTCATTCGCAAATTCCGAAAGACTTCCAACTTTACCGCACTTTTCCAGTTTGCACCCACCTTTCGCGTGATTACACAACTGACTTGTTTCGCTGTAGATGCAGACAAGAGCTCTCAAATCCGTGAGGAAAGAGCTCCAGGGGAGGTATCTCATGTCGGATGGAAGATGAGCGGTTGCGGCAAGGTTTATTACGACTATGTATTTCATACAAAAATGAACAACAGATAAAACTAAAATTCGGAAAACTTGTATTAGTAGTTTAGACTGTGTATAGTTAATATTAGTGTTATTTTTATTATTTTAGCTGCTAGGAGGGGCAGCTGCCTCCCCGCCTGCCCCTCGCAGGAAACGACCTTGGAAGCAAAGCCTGCCGCTTGCGGCGAGCAGTGGTTTTGAATCACAAGCGAGCGCGCTGGGTAACACCTGCTTTGCAGGGTTGGCCAGTTTTACATCGGTGAAAGCATAGGGGAAATTTGCAAATTCAGGATATTTTTTAATTGACTTGCAGTGTGTATCGGCACCCAACAGTTTGATTGATGGATTAATACGGCATGTGCTTCCGGGAAAATAAAGAAATAGGACAGGTTTCGGCATGGACGGACGGATGGTCAACAAAAAGTGTATTTCCGTTGCAATCTTGAAATCGATGATCCTAAGCATTACGTAACTTTCCCTATACTGTGTAGTATATTACTCCGCACATACGTACGTATACGGGAAAGTAAAAATGTGCTCTCTCTGTGTCCCGTTCGGGCATAACATTCATTGAATTGTTGACGAGAACTACGATGATGTAGTAAATTGTGTTCTCTAGCACTTCACATGTCAGAGGAACGAATTTCCAGGCCGTCTTCCTTCTGCGTGCTATCATCAATTTGCTTACATTTCTTCCATCCACAACTGCGGTTTCGTCTGTTGAAACCTATATCTTATAATCTTCACACCACGTGTTATTTTATGTCAAAATCTCTTCATTACAAGGGGTCGGATTGTCCTTCCTGAAAGGATATTCATTGTGCTTAGGCGGCTGTATATTTTTTTTCAAGAAACCGTCTGAAACATCAGTTGTTAAGTTTCTTGAAAGGAATATTATACAAACCCAATACCATATCTTTCAAAAACTGGATATTGTGAGTTTCGTGTCGGGGTTTCGAATAGAAGACGTCACCTATTTTCGACTACAGATTGTCTAATTACAAAATTATTATGTTTTCTCCAGTGTTACAGTGTTGAATCATTGTAAAGCAGTTTTTCCGCAGTGATTTTCACCTCGCACAATTTACAGGACAATATCCGTCGGTACTGAATATGCTTTCACTAAACTCGCGAACAAAACTTCGTAACTTCTCACTGACTGAGACTTTCAGTTTAGGTACATGGAAAGCAACTGAATGACTCAAGCAAAGACACGAGCTAGTGTTAAATTTTCTGCAGGGCGACAGCTTTATTAGTACGCCGTCATCGTGGTAAATTCTGCTCGGCCGACAGACCGTCACTCGCCGGGGAACGGTGCGCTTGACTCCCGTGGGAATATAGCGGACTGGAGGATTTCAATGTCTCGCCCTGCAAAAGGCATATTTCTCAGGCTTGTTGAGTAGTCGGTGTACTTCATGGTAAATAGTCGCCCGGTTTCGAGGGAATGATCCAGGAGCAAACAATAGCTCTCCCCTGATAGAAGCACTCCACACACTACTGAAAATAACGATACTATGCCATTATAATGACATTTTGTTCAATATATCATTATAATCATATGCCAACAATAAAAAAGAGCCTAAATATTTGTATGCATATATATATAATGTCGCCAGTAATATTCTAATAACGACGTGTGTGATATATCAATCATATTACTTTAGTGTATTTTTGTTGAAACAAAAGATACAGAAAAATTACACAGTACATTTAGTATTATCCCTAATAATAAAAATATATGTAGTATCATAAATATAATTTTAAAATAAACCTCATACATCCGTAATTACTATGGATTACCACAATATCTCTGCTGCAGTCACGGAATTTTAGAAAAAGATGAGACGAAGTAGTTAGCAAGATAGAAGAGATGTCACATGCTGATGATCAATTGAGAATAGGATTAAAGAAGATAGAAGTAGGGATATAAAAACTGGAGAGAGAGCGAGAGGGAGAGAAAGCGAGAGAGAGCGAGATGTGAGAGGGAGCGACAGAGCGAGAGAAAGCGAGTGAGAGTTGGAACAGAAATAAATAATAATCATTCTAAAGGATAACATGGAAAAAGGAAGAGAATGTAGGATAAAATAAGTGAAGATGAAGGTAAAAGTGGTGGAATTGATAAGAGCGGAACGAGGAGGCTAGAATAAAAAAATACGGTAAAGGAGATGACACAGAAATCGGACAACTTAAAGAACAAACTTATGTTAGAGTATAATTGTAGTAAGTGAAGAAGCCATAACGTAGGGTTCCAGTGCCGAGAGTTGTAGATTTTTTACTCTTACTAGGTAGTTATTGTACGATTTATTTAGTTGTGCGCGTGACACATATCAGCTGTTGCGGTTTCATTCAATCGGGAGCTTATATGCCGCTCCAGTGACGTCACTATGGGAGCGTTGAAGCTCCCGATTGGATGAAACTGAACAGATAATCTATTTCAAGTGCACGGTTAAAGGTATATCCTGGTAGAGGTAGAATTCAGCCGTTGTCTGGAGGGGAAATGTAGCAGTGACTTGCTCTGATCGGTAGTTTTCAAATCGGTGATTTCTTCACTTAAAATCAGGTGAATAACGGAGCAGTACCTTTACAAACGGGCAAAGAACTGCGTACGATCTTTCCTTCTTCATCCTTATCCCCCTCATCTATCTTTTTAAAGAAGTAGTTCGCACGCTACTCAAGAACAACAAATAACAAACTCCCGACCAAAACTTCAATGAAATAAATATTTTAACAAAAATTCTTCAGGACTTCAGGAATACTGCAATAAGATAGCGTAGTTCTGGCGGTAACACAGAACAACAGTTCTTTATATACCAATAGTATCAAAAAGGTTGCTGTTCCAAAATGCAATTTGTTAATAACAAATATTTAAATGTGGAAGAACTCTTCCTTAGAGCCTTGCTGTCATATGACGTCAGCTGTGTCTCATGCAGTGACTTTATGAGAATTGCTACGAGAAATAACGAATGCTTATGAGAGTTGTTGCTACGCGCAGTATGAGAGTTGTCGGTATGCGCAGTAGGAGAATTATCAGTAAGCGCAGTATAGGAATAGGCGGAATTAAACGATCAAATATTTCCATTTTTCAGTGAAAATCGAAACAGTTGCATTATTTTTTAATGTTTCAGAGTTTCTGGTCATCTAACGAAACCTTAGATAACTCTAACGTGACCGAAAGCTGAATGGTTTTCATTCACCATTTCTGCGCGCATTGGAAATTAGTAATGTAGATACTCACTAAATAGAGAATGTAGGGGCCCAAGATTCCCAAACCGCTGCCAACCAAAGAGGCGAGAGCGGTGCCCGTCTGCCGGACGCACGTGGGGTAGATCTCCATGCACTGCAGGTAGATGACGTAGAACGTGATGGTCACGCAGAACTTTGCAAACACCACGAGCAGTGTCGTCTCGAGTGAATATTCCACATCTGCAAACGAAGAAGACGTTATCGCACCTAATTTTTCTATTCAGTTCAGCGCACTCTTTTTGATTGCACCACCGAGTCATGAAGTAAAATGTTCTTACGTGAAAGAATGAAATCAGTTGTCCTGATAATGCGAACAGTGCCCTAGTGAGTTTTTCTTCTTTTGGGGGAGCTTGACAAGTTAACAATCGACGTCACATTCATGATTACCGTGAAGGAAACTATTCGAAATATCATTTCGCGAAATTTTATTACGAAATGTAATACATTCCCAAGGAAATATGAAATTCTTTGATACCTATATTTGCGGTTTATTCAGGAGCGTAAACATAAAAATTGTATGCTTAACAATTGAAACTACCAAAAAAGCAATCATGAAATGATCACACACAATACGAGTATTTAGCAGTAAAAGGTTGCGTGCCTCTTCCTAGCCCTTCCCTTAGCCACGTGCATGATTAAGTGTTTTCTGTTATTGCACAACCAGGCACTTGTAAAACAAACATTTGGTTTTACTTACACATAGAATAAGGAAAATGCATATTACGAATTATTTTCTTTTTATTTTATCTTCTCTTTCTTAAGGAACCTTTAAAGTATTTTGTAAAATATTATGATTTTTAAATTTCAGTATGAGTTATTGTAAACATTGATCTTCAGCATTGTTTAACTGGTGACATGAAAGGTCTAAAAATAAAAAAACAACTTATAATTGTTATTTTTAACATCGTTACGTCATAAATGAGACAACCCATTCATTGTCATCAACGTACTCAGTACAAATTAAATATACAGAATGTGCAATCGCTTTCTACTATGTATTCTCTAAACCCACTATTTGCCAATGTTTATCACTTATATTTGTAAAGAGAATATTATTCATATATTCAGCGCGTGACTTGGGTTGTCAGACGGTATTAGTTGAATATGAAAATAAACGTAATGTGTTAGGTGAGAATAATCACGAGGTTACCCTACATGAGTAATGTGCTGAAAAAATATAGCATGTACACTGGCGTGCGAAAGTGTTTTCGTTAAATAATGTTGAATTTTCAAGAATACGTTTTGTACTACATACCAAAGTTGGTTAAAAGGTATTATGAAAGATTTACAATTTTCTATACGTTTTATTTCTGTCGAACTATTGAATAGTAAAAACGATTAAGTATTACACAGCCATTTCTTTCCTGGATTCTTTGATCAGAGAAAAGTGTTCTGTTTCTTATAACACATACTTGCAACTGTGCCTACCAGTCCTAGGTAGGCGAAAGTGAGCAACAGGAAGCAGACTGCTTGCGACCAGCGCCGGCCGTAGCGATCGCACGCCCACTGGCCGATGATATAACCGGGCAGCTCCACCAGCGACTGCCAGAGGTAGTTGAGAAACGGGTTGCCGGACAGAGAATTCACGTGCAGCATCAGCGTGTAATACGTCACCGAGTTGATAAACCTGGGAATACAATTCAGAATTTTATTATTTTTTACAACAAAAATATATAAAAATAACGATATTGAAAAAAGTCGAAGATTCTACCAAATAATAGTAATGTGTGTTTTATCGCGTTTTGGGGTCAGATTAATACGACTTTGCCAGCTGGCGCTGCCCTCACGCCTATGCCCTGTTTATTTATTTATTTGTTATCCATCCCATAATAATAATAATAATAATAATAATAATAATAATAATAATAATAATAATAAAATGATGATGATCGGAAATATGGCGATTGGGTACGATTTATAAGACGCCTTCACTACAAAATAAACAAAATATGCTTTACTGGTTCGGAAATCCTCCCGCAGGGATGCATCGATCAGTTTTAAAACTAAACTAGGGCTAAAACAGCGCGTACTTTCTCATCCGTACTTTCACGCAAAATTACGCAAAAAGTACTCAATTTTTTCAAAATTGTGCATGACCTTATATCAAAATCTATCTTTACGGATTCATTAAAAGACAATAATTCTATCTTCTTAACTGGACTAGTTATAGGAAAACGCCAAAATAATTGTGAATTTTCAAAAAATCAGACTTTTCAACGAAAATGAGACTTGTACCATTCTCTTAAACGACCTTCACACTATTCAACAACTAAATTTTATATAAAAAAAATTATTCCATTTTTTGAACATTTTGAAAATGTCTCAGTGGTTTCATGTCAAATACCCCCCTTAAATTAAAAAATCTATGAAGCGATAAACTCTGTTAAAAGGGATCTATGAAAGAAAAAGTTTGGGATCTACACTGAGGTGACAAAATTCAGGGGATACCTCTTAAAATCGGGTCGAATCTCCTTTTGTCCTGCGAAGGGTAGCAACTCGACGTGGCATATACTCAACAAGTCGTTGGAAGTCCCCTGCAGAAATATTGAGCCAAGCAGCCTCTATAGTCGTCCAGAATTGCTGAAATGTTGCCGGTGCAGAATTTTCAAAATGACCTGACCTCTCGATTATGTCTCATAAATATTCAATGGCATTCATGTGGGGTGATCTGAGTGGTTAAATCATTCCCTCAAATTGTCCAGAATGTTCTTCAAACCAATCGCTAACATTTGTGGACCACGGAATGGCCCGTTGTTTGGTACCTTGAAGTCCATGAATGCTTGCAAATGGTGTCCATGTAGCTAAACATAAACATTTACAGAGAATGATCAGTTGAGTTGGACCAGAGTATCCAGTCCACACTATCATGAAGCCAACAGCAGCTCGCACAGAACCTTGTAGACAAGTTGGGTTCATGGCTTCATGCGGTCTGCGCCACACTCGAATCCTACCATCAGCCCTTATCAACTGAAATGGGGACTCATCTGACCAAGCCACGGTTTTCTAGTCGTCTCGGTGCCAATCGATATGGCCACGATCCCAGGAGAGGCCCTGCATGTGATGTCATGCTGTTAGAGAAGGCACTCGATTCGGTCTTCTGCTACCAATGCTCATTACAGCCAAATATCGTCGGTACGAGGTACGTTCGTCGTATGTTGAACAAAATTCTGCGTTTTTTAAAGCAGTGTTGCTTTCTGTTAGCACCGACCACTCCACGCAAACGCTGCTACTCTCGGTCATCAAGTGAAGGCCGTCGGCCACTCCGTTGTCCTTGGTGAGAGGTTACTCCTGAAAGTATGTATTCGTGGCACACTCTTGAGACTGTGGATCTCGAAATAATGAATTCCTTGATGATTTCGGAAACAAAATGTCGCATGCGTCAAGCTCCAACTACCATTCCTTGTTGAAAGTGTGTTAATTCCCGCCGAGCGGCCAAAATCACGTCAGAAACCTTTTCACGTGAATCACTTGAGTGCAAATTAAAGCTTTGCCAAAGCTCTGCCCTTCTGTATCTGTTGTACAAAATACTACTGCCATCTGTCTATTTGTATATTGCTATCCCACTTTTGTCACCTTATTGTTTGGCAGACTCATGACAACCACATGGAAGTCACGCGCGATACTTCAGTATTCTTGCTCTTCCCAGAGTTGTCTGTCTCGGCATTTTATCTAGTCTAAGATAATAGCTTATTATAATAATGTTCCATTTATGCATTTTCAGAGAGGATCTTTGCTTAAGATGGACAATCGACCATCGTTTCTTGTGGGTACTCTGGACGCCGCAACAAAAGGATACAACAATATGATTTGCAGAACCGAAAAAGTAAGTAGATTTACCAAAATATTTAAAAAATTACTTTTTCCCAAACTAATTTAAATAACTTCTTTCTTTGTTGTAGTGAAAAAATCTTCTTATATTCATTTTGATAGGCTTCTTTTATTAATTTCAAGGAAGTGAAATTTGCAAATTAATTCTGCCGTGAATAAATGACACTTTCTGCAGCCAGCGAAGTCTCGTAAGGATGTTTCATTTTATCAAAAACGCGAAGTTAATTGTACGTCAGGAGCCTAGCCGGTTACAAAAGTAACTTAGACAAATGTCTACTTTCTCCATGAGGAAAAAAAATTGAACATCGTAATTTCAGTAAAATTCTTTGATTTCTCAATTTTGTATAAAATGTCATGATTATTTCATTTTATTATATGTTGTTTGTCTAGTTGAGAGTGGCGGAACTCTTAACAATAATGAAAAGTGTGTATTTTAAACAAAGAGGCAACATTGGTTTTCTTGACTTATCTACATGTATAATGTTTGTTTCGTAGTACGTATTTGATGGTGGAAGGTGAAATTGGTGTAAAATTTTCATATAAAAATAGTAACATAAAGATAGCTTAACTTCCAATCACAGAAAATATAAATATCATCAATTCAGCCATAAAAAGAATTTCATTCCGTTGAATGAAAAAATACGTATGTGTTTTTGCTAGGCATATCTTTTATCTCCTCGTAACATCCGTATCCAAAATGGTTAATGGTGATAATAATACGTTGAACACAAACTTGTTTATGCAACACTGGGCATAGAATTTTCAATGAAAGACCAGTACTGTCTACAATGTAATGATGTAACCACGAAGCTGTAGTATGGATTGAATTCTAACGAACCCATGGCCAGCTCAGTAATTTGCGATAATTGACAAACTTTGCACAAGACGTCGCAGAAAGGTCACCTACCTTCCTTCATAAGTTGGTCACGTTGTAATTTCGCGATAATGCTCTTAGGAAGAATTCACATTGTCAGCCCAAGAAAGAAGCGTACACAGCGTATTCTACGTGAAACACCAATTTTCAGTGCTAGAAATGGCTGCGAATGACATTTTATTTTTCGTGCCACTATAATTTTCAAAAAATGTTAAATATAGTTATTGAAAATGCTTGTAATATCTAAAAGGTTATTACGATTGCGGTTTTTCCACATTATTTACTTTCCGTGCGCTTTTGCTTGGAGAACACTAGATCTTGCAACGGATTTTATTGAACATTAGTGACTTTCTGTTACATGAAATGTATAGTAGAGTGCACCAGAAGCCTGCCTAATATGGCCATTTTCCAAAACCGTAACCTGAACAAATGGTGTACTTTGGATAATTCAAATAATAACCACAGTTCTCTGTACTGGGATCAAGCAATTTTTGTCTGTCACAGTTCTTGACATATAGTTGGAAGGTTACATGGCAGGAATATAACTATAAAAAGAAGGCGAAATAAAAGGTGGAAGAGAATAAAAGCAGAAAAGAAAAATGTAGAGGAGTAGAAAAGCTTAAGAAAGGAAATGGTGAGCAGGAAAGCAGAACTGAAGAAATAAAAGGAATAATAAAAACAAAAAGGAGGAGAAAGCAGAAAAAAGTGAATGGGAGAGAAAAGTAGAAACGTAGGAACGAAGAAGAAAGCACGCAAAGGAATACGAAATGAGAAATGCATTAAAAGGTTCTCCTTCCCGACGAGAAAGAAAAAGAGAAGAAGAAGAAAGATGGTTACGAAAATGGAAAAAGAAGAAAACACATGTTGAGGAGGAGAGAAGTAGAACGTTGACACGGAGAGAAGAAGAACGTTGAGGAATAGAGAAGTAAAAAAGATGGTAAGGGGAGGGAGAAGAAGAATAAAATGAACGTTGGGGTGGAGAGAAGAAGAACGTTGAAGAAGAGAGAAGAAATCGAAGTTCGAAGAAAAGACAGTTGAGGAGGAGGGAAGAAGAAAGAAACGAACATTGAGAAGGAGAGCAGAAAGGCGAAGAGCCTCACGTGGCGCGGGGGCGCGGGCCTCACCAGCTGTAGGAGATGAGCACGGTGACGACGGCGAGGCGGCGGCTGGAGAAGAGGCTGGCGAGGCCGAAGGACTTCTCGCGCTGGCCCGCGATGCGCTCCAGCACGGCGTCCGTCTCGGGCGGCAGCTGCGTGCCATTGACGCGCGCGATGTACTCCAGCACCTCGCGACAGCGCCCCGTCTCCCCGCGCGACGCCAGCCAGCGCGGCGACTCCGTGAACAGCCTGCAAGCAACGGCGCGCGCCTGGCAATGCAGCGTGGTTGGCTGTTTCGTCGCCTTCCTGCCGTCCGTCCATATGTAGATAATATTGTTGAAGAATGTGTAATGTCTCGGTGGATTAGGAACTAAGTCATGAATTTTCAATACTGATTTTTTTTACTGATTTTTCGTTCAGTTGTGCTGATCATTTTCAGGGCATATATAATCAACAACATTTACATTGAATTATTTGTACAACAATTTACGTATATTATAGATACAAATGTAATCATTTCTTTAATTTTGATGGACAATATAATTACTGAAACGTTTATATCAGATCATACTCTCGCCGCACTTATAATTTCTGTGACAGCCTAAGACAAGCAATGATGTCAATTTGGATTGATGCCATTGAGGCTTATCAAAGAAGAAATTAGTGTAGCTCTGAAGAGGTTCGTTATGAGAGGACGGAACGTCATTAAAATACATTAGAATTAAAGATACGAGGATGAGTTCTAAAAGTGAAAAGATCCATAAAAGATCCATTTATTGTGATCAGGTAGATTATACTATTTAATTGTCTAAATAATAGTGATTTATTTCAGTCGTTTCTAGAAGGATAAACGCAGGCTGAATTTCATACTACAACAATTCTTTTCTGATCTGTGGTGCAAATAAAGACACATTCTAAATTTTGCCATAGTTGTTATAAGTAATCTCTTGTATTCTGATCAATTATATTATTTTCTATTTTTTAGCATTCAGACGTTGACACCGAGCCGGTACAAGGTTCGACGCGATAACATAAACTCCCGACCGTACCGTACGAGAACCAGCCAGCACGAGCTGGAATTAAATGTATAACCGGCTGGCCGTACATTGAACTGCGGAAACATAGACGATTATCATGTATGTGAAAAAAGGACAACGTGACCGGAAAGGGACATTAAAATCTTGTTGAATTGTTGAAGGGAATGAACTGTTGCACTCTCAATTTACTTTATTAGATGTAGCGTGGAAAGTTTGGGAGATTGTATATTCTACACGTTGCATATGTACATCTACAAGTTTTAAAAATGTTCTTAGAACATTTTCCTAGATTTTTTTGCTACTACCTTGGACTGACCCTCAAGAGTACGCGTGCAACAAACTGAAAGATGAACTATTTTATGGATCAAGGGCGATAAACTGGAGGTCTCTGATGTGTGCGTTTTAACGGACTGGATGACATATTTACAAGTGAAATCATTTTACTACTACAATGAAGGTCGTATATTTACAACACTGAATAAATTATATAAAGGCTTCTAGCATGCAGTTAATTAAAAATGTACCCGTTAATATTTTCAGAATATGCAACCATTGTTAAGGACTGTAATTTATCATTCAGTTTATTTAGTACATTTAACGATAACAACGTTTTTAATATTTTAATTAATGTGATAATGTAATTATGTTTCTTAAAATATTTGATAAGTACTTTGTGCAACAATTTATTTTTACAATTTATTTAAACAATGTATCACATTCCCTCATGCTCCATTTACTTGTGCAAAACGTAGTCCCAGCTCTGATAAAGGTTATCATTCTGGGAAGAGGCGTGGAAGTCTTTTGCTCCAACCGGGTTAGGGGCCGAAGGATCGTTGGCATTCGATTAACACTCAGATTCATTCTGCCGCGGACTCAGTCATATGATTGGGAGAAACTCATAAGAAGTGTTTAACCACATGTGATTCACTCCGATAGTAAAAGACCTTGCTATTTACTACATAGATCGCTAACCGTCGCGATTTACACCAATTATCATGTAGAAACTTTCAATTATCATACTCTCTTTCGCGCCGCCTTCATGGACCAGTGATCACCTGCTCCGTTCCAGACCAAGGCAAGTATACAGCGGGAGAATGGTATGTGCGTAAAATGTACAAGGGCAGAAGAGGATTAAGTTATAAACATGATCTTGGACTCAATGCTAAACAAGAGCTCCGAAACGTTTTCAAGTAAATAAATCGGATAAAGATAAATCTGACAACTATCATGAGTATTAAAAGCGGAGGACAACAAAGGAATATTACATGTTTACTGTATTAAGAGTCATTTTATATTTGTGGATTTAAAAACTACATACTCATTCATTTTAATTTTATGCTTATGTCGTTTCAAATTACGTTTTCGTTTCTTATTTTGATTTGTTTGCGTTAGTGCTTTCAGAACAGTGAATATTTGTACGTTTATTTGATGTTGCAAACAGCATATTTGTTTGTGGCATTCTTGGCATCTGGAGTTCACGATATTTCCATTAAAATTGTTGCGATAATTAATTTATATTGATTCATATCGATATCATCTACAGAAAACATCACTCATTCAGAAAACGTCGATAATTTTGAATCACTAATATCGATATTTTCCTAATATCTCTAAGTGTAGCTAGTGGTGCTACAGATGGCAAAGGCTTTCTCGCACTAGTTCGTTTTGTAATATCTTTAGTCTGGGATAGCGATTTTGCCCCACCCTCTTTTCATCTGCTTCTTTACGGCATCTAAAAGACATTATTTAACGGTTTTTCAATGTTTCAGTTCCCGGAAAGGAGAAATTAAATGTGACTTCAATGATATTATAGGAGAGTAAAACCTGGCTTTAGGTGCAAATTTTTATCGAAAAATTTGGAGCAATTCTTGAAAAAACGTCATTGGTCTTTTCTGAAAATGGGCATTTTCACAAAAAAATTAGTGTTTATGACACTTCATTAGAAATAATTTGAAACACATGTGTTCAAAAATGCAATATTATTTCAAAATATCCATAATGTAAATATTAACGACGTGAAAGGTATTAAAAAATTCATTAGTTTGTGTAATGCATAACCTCATTTAAAATAATAGTTTTAAAGAACAGATTTCGTTTAGAAGTAAAATCTCTGTCTACAATATTGTAGTTGTGGAACACAGCGAAATTTGATTTAATTTGTGCAATTTTCGAAAATCGCATTAGCGACCTTCTGCGTATATGCAGGAGCTCAAAAGTTGTTCTGAGTATCAAGAGTTGTTTACGTTATGCTTGAAGTCTCTATTGAAAACATAATAATATTGCCAATTTCGAACACAACCATTTGCACACTTCAAATATCAGACGTACGGCAACATCCCTGCTATTAGAAACTCATACGTTGTTGATTCACCCTCTAACAAGGGCTAAAGAGCGCGATTTGGCTCACCCTATGGCTTACTAGAGCATACGGCTGTGATATCTCAGGGCAACACTTGCTGCCACTACAAAATATTCGACCGAAGGTTCCTAGAGTTTGAGTTCGACGGTGGCGGATTTTGAATTGCCTGTTCGAATTCAACCGTTGTCTGGACGAGAATTCTAGTGGTGTGTCACTCGGATCGATAGTTTTCCGTTTATTTTTTGATCAATAACAGACGAATGTCGGATCAGTACCCTAACAAACGCGCGCGATATTTTCTTCCTCTTCCTTGTCTTATCCTCACCCATTACTCACACTTACTCTAACATGTACTACACTCACACACATGCCGGGGAACCGATCAGGAGCTTACAGCTTGTCCCAGCAGGGTCATTGTTCTGCTGGGGAGAGTCACCTGTTTGGGGAACATCCCGCTAGCCAACGATAGGTCGGCGCCGGATCTCACCGTGTAGCCGGGGAAGATCATCGACACCGCCCGAGGAAAACATGCACTACACTTACAGGATTAACGACCTCAGCCGTTGACACGCCCTCAATCACCGATCAATCGATAAACTGAAGCGCTGGTCGCGCCGGATCTCACTTTCCAGCAAGGGAGGAACACCGTTGTCTCGCGGGATATGAACTACATCTACGTGACTAATAACTGCAGTCAAAGGCATATCAAAACCGCAGACAAATATTCTGGTCTCTTAAAAGAGCTGACCGTCTGTAAGCGATAATTTTTAATTTATAGAGACTTGTTAATATTTTCCACATTATTGCTAAATTCAATGAATAACTGAACGATTTAATAACACAAAAAGAAAACGAGGAACGAATTTGCCATTCAAAGATATTTCTGTCACTCAGCAAATATGTTTATAGTATAAGGTAGAATCTAGTAAGAAAATAAACATCAAATAGTAATACGTCGTGGAGAATATAAACATAATAAAGTTCTCGGTTATTTGATAAAAATGGCAAGCATTTTCGAATTCACCGCCGCTTCAACTTGTGCATCTACACCTCTTTCTGGATTTGAAGGGGAAAGAGTGCGGAGTCAGGGGAAGTTGCCCGTGCCTCAAGGAGCATCAGGCTCCTCAGACAGCAAAGTAGCTGGCGCGGGCGCGGTTTGACATGCCTAGACTGTAGGAATCGACGCGCCCGGAAACAAACAAAAAAAAAGAGTGAGTTACTTGTGCAGGAAGATGAAGGGCACGCAGGGCAGCGTGGTGATGAGCATGAGCGTCACCCAGTGGGTGAAGGCCCACGCGAGCAGCGGCACGGCGCAGATGCCCAAGGTCCAGCCCAGGCACTGCAGCATGGCGATGTGGCCTCGCTTGTCGCCCGCAGATACCTCCATGCCTGCGCAGCACACGCGAGAGATAAACGCGATTCGAGCACAAAAATACGCTTCAAAAGCAGTAATCTATAATACAGTCAGGGTCCGAGAAAAGTGACATGAAAAATGTCATTTTGCAGAAGAGTGATTTTCATCCAGCGACGCCGTTTACATCGTGGGCAAAAGGTTTTACTCTATATCTCAGCTGTTTTGTAAACTACCTTCATGACGTGTTTACTAGTAAAAATAGATTTTTTATTAAATATTTTGTATTCACTTAACCTGAATAGTGATCCTCCAACAGAATATGCTTTCTCGCATTATTTTTAATGGTCAGTCAATTTAACCATCTCTCTCACAGACCATCTTTCCGTCCGTCTATAAGTCTGTGGTCAATGCTAGGGCCAATACCATTAAAAAGATTTTCCCAGAAATTGAAAATGGATTTTGACATTGGATCTCTTTTCTGGGTTATTCTGTGGAGGATTGTATCAAAATTGGCCACATTTTAAGCTAGAATGGAAAAAGACTGGAAATAATACGCAAAGTACTACTATTCCCTCTCTTTTCATATTTTTTTTAAAGAGATTCAACATTTTTTAAAATATTTCATTTTACATTTTATATAATATATAAATATGAATTTTTGATGTTTATAAAATGATATAAAACGGACTCCAAGTAACAAGTAAGTGGAAGTAGCTCATTGACTCTACATGAAAATAACAAATGTCCATATACATTTTGAAGTAATACCGTTTCAAAAGAAAAGTTGAAATAATCTAAAATGTAAAATAATATAAATTTGACGCCATTTTTGAGAAAATAAGGTTTTGTTATTTTTTAATATTGCGTGCAATATTGCGCGAAAACTAATAAAAGTTTTAAAAATGTATTTGGAATTATTGAAAGAACTAAACATGCAGAACAAATTTCAATTGAAGGAAAAATCTCCATCTTCAATTTTGTACTTGTAGGAAGGAAGATGTGGAAAAAATTCAAACTTTTAAAGTTTCCGAAAATTCAGACATTTTAGTGAAAATCGGACCTATGCCACCTTATAAGTGTATCTACTTTTACTAGTAAAAATGTCATGAACGTAGTTCACAAATCAGCTGGTATAATCTCTTCTTACCATAAATTTAAAGAAAATATTGGGAGTCATTTTTGAGAAAAGTTTGGAAATGTTTTATGTAAAGTACCTCCAAACATTTAAGAATGTTTTCCAAAATCGAGTCGAGCCAGATCGACCGGGGAATATCCAAAAAAACTCCTATGTATGGTTTAGGCGCTAGTCGTGTTCACGGACGTACGGACCGTCGGACAGACAGACGGATGGACGTTTAAAAAAACACTTTCTCGGTATCAAGAGATACTAAAGCGTGTATTACCGTTGAAATATCGAAATCGATTTCCCACAGCATTACATAACTTTCTCTATACGACGTACATAAGTACGTATGCGAGAAAGTAAAATTGTTATAAATATATCGACAAATTACATACACTTTGAAATGTATTAGATATAAATGTATTATATAATATTTCAAATTCCAGACTGCTCCAAAAATTGGACAGAACATTGGGCTTTACATTTAGATTCTGATTTTGTATTCGTTTGGTTGCCATTTACGATACGTTACTTCGACATAACCGACCTGGATTGCCGTGGTGGCTAAGAACGTGTGCCGACTCGCCGCTTCGGTCCGAGGGGTTGCGGGTTCGAGTCCCTCCTTGTCTCGTGTATGAGTTGTCGCGGAGCGTCTCAATTTGTGCTGACTCCAGATCAGACGAGTGTGTTGATGTCTAATGAATGCGTCCCACGGGAACGTAAAGGATAAACGGCTGACGGCTGGATAAAAGCCCCAAAAAACTAAAAATTATTTTACCAATAAGTGGAATATATACTCATTACTCCCATACATTATAATGTACATACTGCTCCGAATAAAATTCAAGAGTTTATAAAAAGTATTGGAATAAAAACCTATCAAAAATGGCCGCGTTTATTCAACTCATTTCAGTCTATTTCAATTCAATTCATTCAGTTCTCATTCGAGAAGTATTTTAAATGGAATATTTGATGAAAGATACGTTTAAATATTAATTACGACTGACTTACGACAAAGAAACATTATTGAGTCTTCAAATTCATAGATAAATTCAAAAGTTTCAAAGAATTTTAAATTTTTTTCTTTATTAAGTGTTCTGGCATCGTTCCAACCATTCATAACTTGGTTAGTGTTGTTTGACGAGTTAGACTACGATAAAAACGTAAGGCATCGACCCTTTGCAAAAGGGGAACTATTCTTATGCAACCAACAGCTCACGATAACATTTCTCAGAAAATTGAGAAATGGAACTATCTCCGAATTTTGGTGCAACATTCTTCAGTGAACGAAAAAAATATATATATATTCGTTACATATAAAATGCAGAGTAGGTACAGCAGGAGCATATTTGTTTTCCGCAGAATCATTGTTCATTATTATTTGCATTAAATTGGATAGTATTGAAGTATCTGTAACTAAACAAAACCAAATTTCTTTGTAATAAAGAAGTATAATTCTGTATTCCAGACACTATTACCATAGTGTAAAGTAAATTAAAAGTAACGAACACGATTTACCACTAAAAATAATTTCAAAATTCATTTGTATGTATTTCTTTTCATAATGCATTCTTTTAATAATTACAGGGAACAATAATTAATAATAAGACACATTTTTTAATTCCTTTAGATCGAGAACAGTCACCAGGGTAATAGTTTTATAGATAATTTATTTTTTTCAAATCTGAAGATTACAAGTTACATTTATTCATGAAATCCACAAAAAAGCATTAAATTTGTAATATTTATTCCTACAATGTTATATTTAACCATGAATAAACGTGAGTATTCACGAAATATTTTATCGTTCATTCAAATTATCATTGCTGCTTTCAGCATTTTCAGCTTTTTTAGCTGAGTGCTTGCCCTCTTTTAACCTTTCCTATCGACATTATCACTCTGATGAAATTAGCAAGATTGCAAGTTTCTGAATAAGTGTCTAAATAATGTCAATTAGAAAGGAATAAATGCGTTTGTTGACCAACACAACATTACATTACATTTCAATATGTGCGTATAACTTTTTAGAAAATGTAAAACTTTTCTGATGATGCGAATAATTTTTGATGACGCGCATGGTCGGCACGGCCAGTCACTCACTTTTAGTCATCAGTTACTAACAGACCGTTCTCTGACTATTTGGGGCATATGATTAACTGCTTTCAATTGATTGAGGAGGAGTTGGGAGCCACCCTTTTAACGAACTGTATGAATTACCCAAAGAATGGATCATCGAATATTTAACATTAGTGGAGTAGTTTAGCTAATGGAGTAGTTTAGCTTCCTACTTTTCATGCAATCGTCTGTTTAACCTTAAGAGGTCCGCAAACGCTCGGAATATGTGATACTTCAGTTTCTGCATTTAGTCCGGTCGGACAAACCAGAGAGTATGAGGCTACAACCCAGCGGTACAAAAGTCACGCACGATATATGTCAGCTTATGACTTTCCTGAAAGCAGGGTTTGGAGAGATTGTTTTGTTGTTAGTGATTCCGGTCGCGTCAACTGCTAAGGTCTTTACACCCATAAGTGTAGTGTATGATTTTTCCTCGTATTTCCCGCCAGAGGGGCATCTCCCCAGCCGAACAAGCTCTAAGCACCCGACCGGTCTCCCGGTCTGAAGTGTAGTTAAGGCTAGTGTAAGTGTGTGTAAGTAAGGGGTGAGGATAGGACAAGGAAGCAAAAGGAAAGATCGCGCGCTGTTCGTGGCTTGTTGGTTAGGGTGCTGCTTCGGCATTTGCCTGGTGTTGATCGGAGAAACCACGGAAAACTATCGACCAGTGCAGCCGGCCGCTAGAATTCTCCTCCAACAGCATCGGAATTCGACGTAGCTAACAAGCTAGTGCTCGCTACCAAACTAACAATCTAGTGTCGAGAATCTTGCCACCGTCGGGACTAGATCCTAGAAACTCCCGGTAAGAGGGACTGCAGTGACATCAGTAGATACCCTGAACCACGTCTCCCGGTATGGGTTAGTGGGTGCCTGTATCTGTTCTGTGGTCGTAACTATTCCGAGAAAGGTCCTCTAAGGGCAGGTGGCGGCTTGCCTTCAATTATAGAAAAGATACCTTCGCCCCAACTTAGGGAAGCATTTGATAGGTCGGGGAAGACACAGTCAGACAGTCGATGAGATGAGAACTCGTAACGCGTTAAAACAGGTGTCTCAAAATTTGGTAAAAGACGGAACTACCACACACTCCAAGCGATTCTGGAACCCTTTACCGGAACAATTCATTCAAATAAGTAAATGCTCTCCGGCGCTCAGGTTACGTGAATGTTTTGCCCCGTGTTTGCGCGTTGCGTGTTTAGCCGTCTGCAGATGCCCAGTTTTGCCTGACCATGTTAACTTATGTCGGGTACGATTTTTTTCCAGAGAGCGCCCAAAGCGTTTAGTTTTGCTCATTCGCGATTACGTGTCTCGCATTGATTTCTTTTTCAGAATATTGGTATTGTAGTGAGTTTTCGTTGGTATTTCTAATGAAATAATTACATGAGTCGTCATTGCCAACAATATTATTTATTAAAGTAGCAGCTTTCTATGGCTTACCCATCATCATCAGTTTTCTGCTGATGTCGTTTTTGTGGCTTTCATACAGCAGAAAACTGATGATGATAGCTAAGCCATCGAAAGCTGCTATTTTAATAAATAATATTATTGGAAATGACAACTCATGTAATTATTTCTTTTTTTAGAAGTCATCCACTCAGTTTTCTAGGAGATACACATACAATTTTCTGGAAGATAGGCATTCAAATTTGTATAAGGTGAGACACAAGTTTCTAGAACACACACACACACACACACACACACACACAATTTCCTTGATGCCAGACACACAAAAGTTTGCACGTTCGCCCTTGCACTTGAGCGTATCGTATTTAGATGAATTCCGAATGCGCCCAGTTTTGCCCACCAAGCAAGACCCGACAAATGTTCACGGCTGGACGGGCGTCTGTGTGAAACTCATCGACGCGACCGATATTCATTTTTGTTCTAGCGAGGGGCGGCTCTGTCCCCGTACCAGCTGTGTAAATAAGACCGAACCGTACCCTATTGAAAGGATCGCACAGTAAAACTATGTACTTATAACCAAACTTAGTGGCGATAATTATATAAATATATTAAAAGGAGGCTTGCTTGACTATTGGGAAACCGTCAGTTTTCGCCATTTTTATGCGATCGTCATTCAATCGACAGTATCAGGGATCGTTCAGCCATTCAGTCAATAGATAAAAAGTAAAACACCTTGTCTGAAGAAAAAAAAGCTTCATTCAAATCGAAACCGTTGTTCTGCAAAATGAGAATTTTTCAGATTTGCTCCTGACGACAGTCGGTCTCTGTGGACATGCGGAGCGAAGTGTATTATCGAGCACGTGCAGCTAGTAGACTAGTGGATAGGGTTCTCACGTTCTCACCGACAGTGAAGGGCGACTGGAAGGCAGCGGAGGAGGGCACGCTGCCCACCACGGCCATGATGAGGAAGAGCGGGTAGATGCCGGCGGTGACCACCGCCAGCCCGCGCCCAACCACCAGCAGCAGCAGCGTCACGAAGAACACGGGCCGCCGTCCGATCCTGCGCACGCAACAATAGCAGACTTTCAGTTATTAAACAACATACGCGCGGTAAACGACCAGTGAGCTCTAGGGTAGGTGGGAGACGACACACTGAGCTGAGAAATTGTGACGGTTCGCCATGATGGTGAACGTCTGTGACCTCGTTTTCTCGGAAACAAATAGCAGGAATTATAATTATCTTTGTGATTCATTATTTTTGTCAATCATTTCATCATTATATTTGTGTTTATCACCTTATTAAAATTTAAACATTTATTCTCTTTTACGGTCACGAAAAATTAATAAAAAGTTGTTAAGAAACCAATATTTAATAATTTAAAATTGCAGTTAACATATCTTTGAGCCTTTCATTTATTGGAGACGTTTTTTAATGTTTACGCAGGGGAGTGTTCTAGTTTTGCGTATTTTTAATAATTTCTTTAGTTCAACTTATGGCAAATAATAGTGAAAAAGAAAGCCTAAATATATCATTAAGTAGTGGCTACCCAATAATGTGGTACTGCGGTCTCATCAGGTTTGTGGCACACTATTTACATGCCTGTGAAACTTAATTCTATTCCCATTTGTCAGCGTTCTTTTCAACCGAATAATATGCGATACTTTCGCATTTTCGTTGATAGAAACTATTTTAAGCATCAGTGAACAACAAACAAGACACATTTGACTCCATAAGAATGTGTATAGGTAGACGTTTACAACATCCAACCTAACAACAAACGATCGTCACGATTTTCAGCATTCCAAAGTATTGCAGTTGTGAATCCAGTTATAACGTTGAGATCATTGTATACGACAAATTCGAGGCCCTACAGTTCCGTGGACGAATAGTTCAGGACACAAGAAATTGAATGGGGCCGTGCCAGCCATTGTGGTGGATGATTTGCGCGCGGGTTTCAAATCTGACTATACAATTGCGCTCGTTTTCATCATTACCTTTGTGTTTGAGTGAGTATAGCAGAAACAAAATTAATTACTAGTTAAGTGACAACACAGGTGTGCCTCTCGTAATATTTCTTTCTGAAGAGTCAAACTGTGCGAATTTGCACATTGAATTTCAATTTGGAACAATGAATTTCTTCGTGCACCTAATATATCCCGAACAACTCTTAACTGTAGTATATCACGTATATTTCCATACAGTTAAATTATACATGCGCGGAAAATAACATATCGTTATACTAAACAACTAACACGCTCGAATCACAGTTGCACTGATGTCTACGAGGTACGCACGTTTCCACTACAATGGCCGCCTTCAAAGATTCCGCGACAGCAGCGCTCTCGATGAGTCTAGATTAATTCTATTCCAACGCCTTTGGTCTATTTAGACCAAGCCTGCTCAAAAAGAATGATCTTATTAGAACCAAACTGCTCGTGGTGGTCTTGCGTGCCACCACTCTCCTGACGATACCAAAGGCAAGCGCGATCTATTCTCTTTCTGCCCGACGGGTTGTCTCAATAAGCAGAGAGCCACACCAATTGGTCGGTGAGTGCAACCCAACCCTCTCTTTTTAGGTGAACATATTTTATTGCTTCCTTGCGTTTTGAATACACATAATTTACATTTTTATTAATATAATGGAAACAAATTAAAATACATTAACATTCATTAAAATATAGGAATTATTACGTATCCACAGCTAAATATTGACTCCTCCGTTTTGTGCAGTGGTGAAATAATGATTATTTTCAAAATATTCTGCCGATCACTTATTCCCATAAAGTTATTATTCTGCTTTTATAAATCCTTGAGGCTCGTTTTACACAATATATCTTAACTAATCTGCATGAGTGCACTGTGTGTAGAACTTCTCAGATAAGTTGGTATTTTTTTCTAATATTTCCACATAAGTTGTTTACGTCCCTTCTACTTGTCTACGGCGTAACCCTGGTATACCCGAACTACAATAATTTGAGACATCTCTGCAGTAAAAAGAAGGTTCATGGCCACGAGATACCTAACAATGTCTCAGAACAAATACAGGTTTATGGATACTAATAAGAATTTAGTTATTAACTTATAAAGTGAAATTTCTGAGCTCACAAATTAAACAAGAATTTTCAGAAGTGTGCATTTAACAAATTATAAATATAAAAAATATTATTCTGTTATTTAATATGACAACTCATTCATTTTTCGGTAATGAGGCGTCATAGATTTTATTACTTTGAACCTAACTTTATCCTGGATATAATTTACATAGATATTGAGGTTGTTATTGACTGTAACAAAAGAAGGCGAGTATCCCGAACGTTCCTTTGCAGTTAGTTTTAATTTCGGTTGTCGTCACTGATAAAAAAGACTTATTTTATTACAAACGAACCGTTGCGGGGACTCGCGAAAGTGCTGCCATATTAGTGGAACTATAATTGAATTGCGTTTCAGTAGTTCAACGTCACTATCACCTTTTAGAATACTTACGAATCTCCGAGTTGCCCGAAAACAAAAGATCCCAGGACATCCCCTGCCCTGCTAAAGGCAAACACATTGGAGACGTAGATGCTGTCGTTGCAGACCCAGTTTTCTTGGGATGGTGCCGTTAACGTATACCATGTTTTGTCGTACTCCCAGCCATTTTGGCAGCCTGTTGAAAAAGAAAAGAAATAAAGTATTGAGAATTTACAGCTGTAAATAACGGTAATGTGGCACGGGAAAGCCTCATTTTATGTTTACAAATAAAATAAATTACTTTGAAATATACTCTGATTAAATAAGAATGAATAAAATTCGAAATCTGAAAATATTTTGTGCTAATTGAGAATAATTGAAGATACACGCGCCGTCCGTAGCCGTTTTTTACAAAGCTTTTTATGGAAAAGTTTCGAAAAAGGTATGTACTAATGCAGCAGTTGCAAAATTCGATGTAGAGACAGTGTAGAGTACAATTTGGGAATCCTCGATACCGAAAAAAGAGTAGTTTTTTAAATCTATGAGTCCGTCCCCTTGTATCTTAAAAAACCTACATAGCACCTAAACGGTACATGGTATTTTTCTCAAATTATCGGATCTGGCCGAACTCGTGGCTCTACGAATTTGAAACAGACACTTCAAATTTTAAGGTGTTCCTCATGAAGACCCAAGAACATTTTATTTAAAATTGCTCTAACTTTTTCTGCTTTTTTTATTCCAAGAGAAGAAATAATACAAAGAATAGGGATTAAGACCGAGCTTCTCTAAAATGTCTTAAAATTAGAAAATTGCCAAAACGTACATTTCTAATAAGTCCTACAACGTCAATATGTAAGCTACAAATATATTTCTTACTACAAAATTTATGAGTGAAAATGAATCATATTCCTCTACATTAGCGCTTTAAGCCATATCATTCATCTTTTTAATTGGTAGTTTTCGCGTAATGTTCAGTAAGTACTTTACAATTTTCCATCTTTGGGGTTAAAACTGCCAAATATTGAAGGAACGTAACCGCTGAACTATCAAACGACCCTCACGGCGTAATGGATAGCAAGCTGGGCCTGGATTTTTTTTAACTTATTGAAAGGATAGAGTGCAAAACATTGAATTCAAGTGTAGAAATCCCATTCTCATTAAAACGTCTAAAGTTTCAAATATTGAAGATATGTATTTTTGGTGAATTGACGTTTTTAAGAGTTTCCATTTTTTTTCCAACATCTGTGACAGATGAATCTGCACAACCTGAAATCGCTGGATTGTCAGGAACGTTATTCTCAAAATTTGTTTCTGTTTTCTTTTTTCGAGGAGCGCGAAGATGCGTACCCAGTGCCCTAATTCAGTTACTTCCTTCGGTATGTTTGTTTTCGACGCCTTATTAGCTTTTTTACTTCACCGCTGGTCGTGGTCCAGAGTACGAAACTCGAGCAGTCTTGCACTTTTGGGATCAACGCATCACCCAGAAAAGACGTGCGTCAGTGATGGTATTGCCGGGGATGGGATAGTCTCACCTACCACCCCCGCTCCGTAGCTACCACCGCCCACGCTTTCGTTCGCAGACGCCGCCAGCCCGTCCGGCAGGGGCGAGGGGTTCACTGGGGAACTCGCGTTGTACATCAGGCACTTGCTGAAACCGTCGTCCTCGGTGGCGTCCCTGTGAAAATAAAGAATCAGAGATCAGATGTGAAAACGTCGTTAGTTGTCCTTAGATTCTGTAATGTATTAATTCTACATTTTCTTTATTCTAAAAAACACATTTTAACGCAGACACTTGTGAAAATAGTTTCCTCTAGTGAAGTAATTTTGTAAATTTGATCTCATTATGTGATAAGCTCTCAAGTGTTTAAGTAAGAATAATGTTTACAAAAATATAAATTCCAGAGTTAATTTAGATTGTATACCATTTTGTTAATGCAACTTTCCTGACATCTGTAGTTTTCATTAAGGAATCCTCAAATTCAAAGCCAACATGAAGATTATGTAATCGTTTCTCTAAGTGTATACTATTTATGTATTTTAAAAAGAAAATATTTTGCCTCAGTGTTTTCTGAGTGATGCATTTTAAGTCAGTTTGAATTATTATGATTCTTTCTTGTGTATTCGACTTGAAAATCGAAAAATGCCACCACGTATTACACTCGTTTCCCTTAAAACAATTTTTTATCTGAAGAAGTTTCGGTATTTTTCTCATGGATCTAGTTACAAATACCATTTTATAATTCCGGAAAATGTTAAAATGCTTTGCTGAAGAAAGTAATTATCCCATGTAGTAAAGATTAAAATATTTTTTCTAGTTACTTCATAAAAAAATATTCGTTACTTTAATTTACAAGCTGTTAGCAAACTACAGGTGGCTGAAGAAGTTAATGAGGTTGACATACGCAAAGCCTGAGTTCTCAGATCCGTTGATCCAATAATGTATTCCTTAACAGAGAGTGCTTTTCCCCCGCCTGGAGTAACACCTAACTTGATATTCTTTTACTACAGTACCAGTACATGTCATTAGATGCTATTATTTTTTGTCATTCATTTGAGTTTAAAAGGCGAAAACACGGCATATTCTTGTCAGTAAAGCTCTGAAGAAGGCCACTGCAAGATGGCCGAAACGTCAGCACAGATGACCGAGACGCAGCTCATCCCTGATAGCCAAGAATGTATTGACTCCGGCCGCGGAAGCCTACAAACGCATATTCTTAAGCATTTTATTTTGTTTTCTTTTTGTTCTTCGTATTTACATGAAGACTGAAAGTGAACACATTAATTGTTTTCGTGCTTTATTGTGTATTGTCAGTTTGGTAAATGACGGGGCCAAGGTTGTCACAGTCGACACCATCTCATATCCCTGTAGGGAATTGGCACACGCTGTTACTCGCGTTTACTGTTTCTCGCAGGACCTTGGGGTGCGCTGTCTCCTCGGTCGGGACGACAGCGCTTCAGCGTGATGTGTCAAGAAGCGTATGTGTGTCAAGTGTGTAGTCCGAGGTACGCATTAGGAATGTCAAGGGCGAATGCCACCATCGTTGACACTGTTTGCATTGGTTATTCATTGAATTATGGGAGAAAATGTGAAAAAATCGATAGTTTTCTTTGTTTCGTTTTAAGTGTACATTTTATTTACATTATATTACATTACAATAATATTTTACTTGCTCATATATGCCTTCACTAAATGTTAAAATTAGTGAATGGAATATTTACGTTACACCATCAGGTAAATTTTTTGTCATTTTTCGTTTTCATTTCATGTCATACCTTTTGTTTACAAAGATTTAGGCGTGCTGCGTAAATAATACGGCACTTTGACAGCGATAACAAGCTCTCTTCTCTTTTTGACTGAGAATTCTCCATCACCATCTAATATAATTACACAACATCTAGGTGATATATTTAGTCACGCATTTGTGTGTTACTCTGTACTTTCATCAAATTCCATTAGTCTATCACTGTGCATGTGATTTAAGGACATTTGAAAGATATGTGGAATACTGACATTTTACAAATGTTTTGAGGATCCTATTGCGTCTGGAAGCTAGCAGTCTTGAAGACGATTTGTTCGATTTTGGAAATTACCCTTGACGCAATACGTGTAAGTCTCTAAGCAATCATGTCTAAGCAATATGTGTAAGTATTCTAAGCAATCGTATGAAGATTACAGTGGGAGAGACAGAAAGGGCGATGAACGTTTCTTGGTACTAGCGGAATAAAGCGAGAGTTAAAGAAAAAAGTGAATGAGTCGAAAAAACTGTAAATCTCTTTTCGTCCTATCCACTCCATATTTTTTGTTAGCAATATCCTTAATATTGATTTGCATTTTTTTCGCTGGAACATGTCATAATTCCATATTTGGTAAAATCAATCTTTTCTTCTCAAACAAGGAGTATAAAAAATCATCTTCTAATGAACCAGAAAGTATAGATAAACTGACATTGTAGTAAAATTATAAATATACATTCATACAAGATATTGTTAATTTCACAGAAAATAAGTGAGTGATAAATTGTGCTTGAACGTTCTGAAGTTTTTAGGTCTTCATGGTCTGATTGGACGTAATATTTTCATCTAATTAAAAAGAAAACGAGCTTCTTCTGGATATTTTTTATATTTTGTTTTTAAGAGATATTATTGATATTGGATTTGACATTTATACAAAGTTCTCGTCTGTCAGTAATATTTTGCGAGTACATCTATAATATAAAAATGAATCGCAAAATGTGTTGGTAAGCGCATAACTCAACAACGCCTGGGGCCTGGGGATTAATTTGGCAATTCTTTTTTAAAAATGTTGTTGAAGTTCAAGGATGGTTTTAACGCCAAGAAATAATTCCGAATAATTGCGAAAAACCTAAAAAGCAGCCTTTTTCCTATACAAATGTTTTCTAACTAAAACGTACGAGTCAATTTTTGAGCTTTTATAGCTGTGTATAAAAAACTGATTGTTGTTAGTACGCACAAGTACTCATTGTTGTACGGTATGTTCCTAACGTCAAAGAGTCAATTGGCTAGGGTCTCCCCTCTCCGGTTTTAGATCGGGGGACTTCCCGGTTTTTGAGCATGCTCCGGTCTCCGGTTTTTGAAAAATTATCTCCGTTTTTTTCCAATTTCAATACATTTTCAAAAGTTTTTACAAAATAATAGTTTTTCAACTTAAAATTTAAAGCTTTTTCTATTTCATCCAGGAATACTGTCCTTTCCTTCTTCATTAGAAAGATAAAGAGCATGACATGAAAAATTGTCTTGGCGATCTCGTGTTATCGCATCCGCTGTCTTCTTTCTTTCTACGCATATCAGACAGAGACAGCATCTAGGATTATGCGAGAATCGCATAGGCCAACAGTTTTTCAAGAATAATCCGCCGGGAAAGCTATTCGATATCTTCATTTTGAAAAGATTCGAATTTTCGTAATTTCGTATCGACATTTCGTATCAAAGGCTGAATATTTAGATATACATAACAATTTGAAATAAATGTTAAAAAGCAAATAATTATACAGGTAAGTTTTACCTACAAATTTGTTTTACATATCTCTATAACCTAAAAATAATTAATCATATTAAATTTTGTTTTTAGAATAACTGAAGTTAAGACTATATTTATTGCAGGCGAAACAACATTTTTTAAGAAAATTCCGAAAAGGTTGTGGCAATCGTATACAAAAAACAATTAATAGAAAGGTATGTTTAAAACACTACATAATTATATAATTTAGTATAAGCTGTTTTAGCAAAATTATTCTTTTGCATTTATTTTTTATTTAGATTTGAATTACATAAATAGATGAAGTAAGTTTAAATTTATAAATTCAACATCTGCACTCAGGCATACAACACTTTATTTAGCAATTTAAATATTAATTACCCCCCCAGCGGTCTCCCGGGTTTTCTGGAATTTGGCCTAAGGTGGCAACCCTACATTTGCACTTTATTTACGCGTTATACAAAGTTCAGATTCAATCATATCTATCAAAACAGGTGTGCGTGTGTGCGTTGGAGGCACAGAATACATCGTTGGGGGATTTAATGTCGCGTTCCGAAACTATTAGCAAAATTAATGTATAATATGATATGCCTCCTATTAGACGAAGCAATTTAAGGTAAGAAGACCCGAACTGCTAAACCAAGCTAATTACCGATCTAATCATGCTGGCAAAGGAACGTGACGACGAAATGAACGTGAAAGCATTCGGATATCACGAACGCGTGAAGGCGCGAGCGCTACATTCAACTAAAATCGCGCAAGTTTGAAATCGAGCTGCTTTCAGTGACGATGTGTCAATTTGACTAGCAGTCAACTACAATGTGTGTTATTGTTCTATGAACTCGATTTGCCTCATATTTGTAGGCATTGACATTTAAAAACGAAGCTAATGGAGTTGTTGTTGCGCAAATGGTAAAGTGAAATTGATACCATTTGGAACCAGCCACCAGAGCCATTGTACTCATTGTTTCAGAATAGGTACGATTCCATACACTTTTTGGAAAATTATCCAAGAATATAACAATTGGCTTCAAAATGGACTTCATTTTGGGGGTCAACAATATAGTTGGGGAATTTTCATGCCAACTTTCAAGGTATGTAATTAATAGCAGTTAAACATAATTATTTTATGTTCTGTCACTTAAGTTAAGATGTTGTTCTAATCTTCAATTTCTTAATCATTAAGATCATAATCATCACTTAGTTCCCACATATTATTTGGTGATCGCAGTTTTTTAGCGAACACTTTTATTATTTTGAACCCAACATTATTATTTGATGATGTATATTAGTTACACTAATTAGGAAGACAGATATAATTTTAAAGAACTAATAATTAAGTTTTGATCAGCTGACAATCCATAATTTATAGCCCACATTGCTTTATTTATTTTAATTTATTTCATTTATAGGTGTTTGGGTAGGCAAACATAATATTTTTTTTACATTTTACAGATACAAGGCCAAATATATACATGAGAGGTTCACTGTTACCAAGTGTCAGATAGCTACTACAAATTCCTGCAAATTTATTTTTTTGGGCAATTCATCACAAGAAACTAATTCTGCGTTGTTGCAGCATAACAATTTAGTAAAGGGTATATTGTGAACAATTACAAATTTAATTTCATGACACAATCAATTGATTATATTTGTTTAAAACTGCCTGATCTGATGCCATCAGAATAATTACAATTGTAATCAAGCTGATTAAAACACCTGCGGGTCAACATGCAAGACGTTTTAATTGCACCAACTATTGATGAAGTTGCTATCGTTGGTTGGAGAAAACTTGGAATCCCGTTATATTCGTTTTCGTCGGAATGATCATTATTACAACGTAATAAAGGAAACACACCCGGCTCATATGATGCAGCTGCAATATCCCATTATCATTTTTGGGCAAGGTGAAGATGGCTATGATTTGCTCAATACAAATTATAAATCCATTACAGGTAAATTAAAACTATTAGTTAATATTCAGTCACTATATTATGTATTTTAATTTTTATATTTCAATGTTATTAAAAAAATCTATTTAACAGGTTCTGAAAGCGAAACAAAAAGTCCTGCTTCAATGAACTATTAATTCATACTGGCCTAATGATTCGGGAAAATAACGACGATCACATATTGAAATGTGCGGCGATTATAATACAAATATATGGTTGATATGCTTAAAACTGAAACGGAGAGATTAACATTCCCATCAGGTTGAATCAGACCAAACTCCGATCTTAAAGAGTATACTTCACCTTCGAGGATGCGATTATACTGATGAAAATGCACAGAATGTTGGTCGGATGACTATCTTCAGCAAACATACATCGGAAGCTCCTTGACATATGCACGAAATATGTTCAAAGATGCCATGTCGTATGTTCGTCAATTATGGTACAGCAGATTTGTTCATCACATTTCATGCAATCCGCACTGGATCGAAATCAAGCAGGAGTTATTCCTGGGCAATCACTCATTGATCATGATATTAAGGCAAGAGTTTTAGACAAAATTGAAATCTTAATGGATTTCATCGTAAAACATTATGTGTTTGGTGAGACCGCTGCTGGAATTGTAATTCTGTGGGAGTGTCGAAACGAGGATTGCCAATGCACCGCATCTTTTGATCTTGGTTGGTTGAAAAGATAAGGGCAATGAAGTTGATGCAGTGATATCAGCTGAAATCCCTGAAATGTACAAGTAGATCCTGGATTGCATGAGATATGTTATCAAAAATATGATACATGGTCCCTGTGGAACTCTTACTCAAATTCACCATGTAATGATCGGATGGTAAATTGTTCAAAACGATATCCACGGGCATTATATCGGGAAACAATTACTGGTATGAAGGTTATCCATGTATCGTCGGACGATCGACAGCAGACAATGGGAAGATCAACAATTGTTCACATTACATCAACAAGATATTGAAATAGATAATCGTTGGATTGTTCCATATTTACGCAATTTATCAAAGACTTCAAGCACATCAACGTTGAATGCGTTGCTCATT